CGGACAGTTGAGGGATTTTCAGCCACGTGAAGAAAATTTCCAGAGGCAGTTAAGATATGTGCAGCAACGCGAAGAGAATTTACAAATACAGTTCAGAGAGCTTCGGGAACGGGAACAGAGTTCTCAGAGGCAGCTTACGGAGTCGCGGCAGCGTGAACAAAATTTGAAGCGGCAACAAATGAAATTTTCAGACCCCCGAGGTGAACTTAACATCGACGAAGGTAAGCATGCTTTGGCACACACCTAGCCTGAGTATCAGGCCTTCCTACGGGGCTAGGGAAGAGGAGATTTTAGATGGGGGAGGGGGAGAAGAGAAAGGAAGGCCTGACACAAAACCATTCAGCAAATCGTGTGACACATCCAAAATCTGGATGTGGCAGTGATTGGATAACACACAATACCCCCTGACGTCACCGACCGCAAGAGCGATCGGCAAGGAGACGGTCATTGAAATTTTTCATAGATGTTTTGATTTCATGTTACCGGTATGTGATGCTTTTACAGACAGAGACGCAGAGAGGAATTCAAAAAGGTTCTAGAGGGCGCTCTCAAGTTCTTTCCTGGAATAAAAATAAAACCCGAGCAAGAATTGTGTTTTCAAGGCCTCGTAGTTTAAAGGAAACATGTACTCGAAGTAAGGAAAAGCCTCATATACCATCTTCGGCCGAAACTATGTCCAAGTATTGGTTTCACAAGACCGGCACAAAGAAGACGATATCACTGTTTCAGATATCTAAGTTCAGATTTACAACATCCTGCCGTTAAAAGGGTATTGTTACTGTAAATGAAAATAGAGCGAGGTAGCCATGTATTGAGATAGCCGCGGGGATAGCCGACGGACAGCACCAATGCTTTTAAAAAGCTTGACTTTGCTTGTTGCGGTTACGATAACGTACGTGATTGGAATTCGTTCGCTTCCTCTTCCAAAATCTTCTCACTTTTGAAATGTCTTAAGCTCAAGCGGGCGCCATCATATTTCGCCAAGGGGATTGACCTTTGCTGTAGGCTCTCACTTGTTTTGAACTTGTAACAGCTTTCACGAGCTCTCTGTGAAGTGGTGGAATCTGCTGCCGCTTGATAATTTCTAGGCATAGGTGTGTCACTATCGAACTTCCTATATATTCTTACAGCTCCTTTCAACCACCCGAGAATACGAGGGATAACACCAGCTTTTTAGCTGCCAGACAAGCGCCTGATTTAACTCTGTAAACAAAAGCAATTTACAATTTTCCGGGCACACGTTTGTTTACAAACAGAGCGTTGGCGATCTTACACTAGCACAATTCCTAAACCCTGTTATAATTCCTCATAAACGGCAGGTTTTACGTTACAAGTATTCGAAAACTCTTCATTGGAGGTTTCAGAAAAAAGCGAAATCGTAGCAACACTAGCACCGGAGCTCGGCTCGACCGTTAAGTGAGATTTATTTTAGGCGAGCTTTTTGACACGTGAAGCTGACAACCCAATGACCGGAAGTGATTTTGATTGGATGGTATCGAATCATGCTGTGTGAGGGTGGAAGGCTCCAGTAAAAGCATCTGTGTCAGGCGTTTCTTTCCTTCACCTCTCTTCCTTTTTCGCGTCCATTTTTCCCCTTTTCCCCAGAAACGCCTGATACTCAGGCTAGCACACACCCTCCTCGATCTGCTGAATTCTTCATATCCTACTCAGCCTCATTCATTAATTACTAAATATTGCATTATTGGTTGATATTTATTACATTAGTAGTTACATTAGTAGTCACATGATCACTCAGACCAACTGTGGCCCTGTAACGACAGCAAATATACGGTACATCAGAGGCACCTCTGAAACTACTGTACGTATATCACAACCTTACAATACATGTATGCGTGTTGCACACAAACCGATAACCACTTTACGGCGAATGCTTAATTACTAATGTCAAGGACAAAGACAAACCGGAGGACAGACAGAAAGCAGTATACAAATGCTGCGACTGCCAGGCTTTTTACATTGGTGAAACCGGCAGAAACCTAAGCACTCGACTGACCGAACACAAACGAGCGACGAGGAATGGTGGCGTCAACAATCACATTGCTGAGCACCATTTACAGACGAAACATCAAATTAACTGGGACTCTGCGACATGTATAACGTATTCTACAGACTACTATCAACGTCTTACATTAGAAAGCTGGTTTACTAACTTAGAACAAACGCCACTGAATCGTAGCCAATAGTTACCAGCGCCGTACAAACGACTTATTGACGAGATCAAGCAAAACTAACCACGAGAGAACGACTGGAGAACTGACAATTGACTAACAATAGACGACTATTTAACTGTGACAATAGACGGATCGAAACGCACCAATTACAGTATGTGGTCCTTGGTCCGCGACTTTTCCGAAAATGATAAAATATTTCGTCGAGAAGAAAAATACGTTGAATAATGAAAGATATCGTGATTTACTGATAAGCATTCTTTCATATGACGAAGTTTCGGCTTTCCTGCTGTGGGTGAAGACGCGAAATTAAAGTTTGTTGACAGGTAGGTTAATTTGTCTTTCTTGAAGTTTGGATTTTTGCGGCACCGTAAATTACATGGTCATGTTTACCTAGCCTGCGAATAAATAAAACGCAACGGGAAGACTTGCCTCTTTGCAGAACAGGTTTTCAGATCAACTCAGGGGCACCCAACGGCAATTTTCGGGAAAATATCTGTTCGGAAGACGATGTGAGATCTAGAGTTTTCGGAGCATTTGTCGTAAAATTTCTTGCTTGCCTGCCTCTCCTAGGATTTTCGAACATCGACAAAATGGTATAATTACCCATTTTTAACGGATTTTGACCCTGAAAAAGGCCACCTAGAATTTTCGGGAGCCTTTTCCTGGCTGAAATTTTCGAGAAGGTAAGTTTTTATCCCTATAATTTTCGGATCACTAGACTTTCAGCTAGGAAATCCGAACAGATGAAAAGTTTTTAGGGGATAAAAATATGCCTATATTTACCGTTTGAATACTAAAATACGTTCAACAATGCTATGTTAAGTGGTTTTGAACTATATCCTCGTTGGGTGCCCCTGGGCAATGTGCACATATGACTTTTATCTGGACTGTTGAGCCCTCTCCTTCAGTTTACCTTTTGATAATTCTTCTTTAGTTTCTCCATGATTTAATGCATACTAGGATATGATTAGGACTTTTCTGTTTTTTTTTTAGGGTAAATATCCGTTTAAAATGGGTAATTATACCATTTTGTAGATGTTCGAAAATCCTAGGAGAGGCAGGCAAGCAAGAAATTTTACAACAAATGTTCCGAAAATTCTAGTTCTCAAATCGTCTTCCGAACAGATATTTTC